CCATGAAATTTGTCAGGGAATATTTCTCTGGGTATATAATTGCAAAGATATAAAGGAATATTTTTTACTTTTCTGGTGTTGCTGGTGATATAAATTAATATTTTTAAAGTACCTTTTATATATAATAGGCCTTGGTATGAAATTACCATTAGGGAAAAAATGGTTCAATATTAATTAATTTAAATTAAAATCACTGATTTATATGGATACAATTGATCTACCACACAACCCCATAGAACGAGTCAACCCATTCAGGCACCCAGGAAAGCCTTTTGTACTTCAGTCATATTTATGGGTTTCCTGAGGCAATGTCTAGCTCCAAATCAGTGATCCATGGGAAAACTACGCTTTTCTAAAGCCATGGTCAGCGATTGATAACACCTGCCCTGAGAAATGTCCAGGCTGGAATGATTTCTGCCCTTCTGTATGGTGTGGAGTGCTGGGGATTTAGTTGAGCAATTGTTCATGTGCTGGAAAAGACCCAGCACCACTTCCTGTGGAAAATTCTGGCATTGCTTGCAGGTAAGCTCTGTGCTTTGTGTGGAGCTGAGGAGCTTTCTCATTCTAGGAGAGGCCACAGGGAAGGGGCATCCCTTTTTATGGTACGGGTCATTCCCACTGCCTGCCGCTTTGGTTTCCAAATAGTATCAGCTTTCTTTATCAGCAACCTAGAACACCAGCAATCCTTACCTTAACCAGAGACAACCTTTGACCTCAAAGGACCACCCACATGCCAGCAGAGAGAAGGTCCCATGAAGAATATGCCACCTGCACGCCCCTCTCTTCTCTCCCATCCCATCCTCCCACCAAAAGAAGAAAACACAGCTGAGCAGTTAAATAAGACACAAATAGGGTTATTGGAAAGTATAGGGGGCAAAGGCTAAGAAAGATATTTTGCTATATAATTTATCCCCACTGACATCAATTAATTTTGCACTTGGAATGAAGAAGCCAGATAAAAGTAGTTGACTAAAACAAAGTAAAGGAGAAATATAAGGGAACTATTTCCAAGGTACTGGACCCTGATCATTCCTCAGTACATCACCATCCCTCAGTTAATAGGAAACTAGAGTCTTATAAAGATTAATGGAGGTGCCAAGATACAGTTTAACAGGAAAACTAATAAGGAAAAAAGAAAGTGAAATATTTATTCTTCAAATGCTTTGAAATGACATTAGGTCTTAAAACATTTCTTTGAAGCAGTTTAATGTCCACATACCTGCTTGAGTAATGAAGATTTAATTAACACGTTTTGAGTACCTACTGCATGTCAGGTATGTTCCCTGTCTCAATAGTGATATATATATAAAGATATAAATATGTACATGCAGGTCCATCTTCACACCACGTGCAACTCAGTTTGCTCTTCTTAGTAAGTAGTTTGGAGTCACACTGCCGGTTCAGAAACAAATCCACAGGATGCCTCAGTTCCAAGGACGGAGTGCTACAGTTTAACAATGACTTCCCCATTGCGAAGCTCGGGTGGGGATCAAAACAGTTTGCATGGTAGCCTAGAAGCCTGATTTGCAAAAATTATTGTCCTCTAAGGAAACTAGGTGGTCTGTGAACTACTGCTTTCATCCAAGTCAACTACAATATAATCGTGAGGGGCAAAGAGATCTCCTTAAACCAGGAAAATTATTATTTAAATAAAGAGAAAACTCAATGCAGGCCACAGAAATGGGCTTTATTTCATACTTCTTTAGTAGAAAAAAAACGATTAAGTAGTGTGAGCTAATAAAACATTAAAAAAACCAGTATGCCCTGCCGGGCGTGGCTCAGCAGTTGAGCATCGACCTGAGCGTCGACCTGGGATCCAGGCGATCAGGGTTTGATTCCCGGTCAGGGGACATACCCGGGTTGAGGGCTCGATCAATGACTCTCTCATCATTGATGTTTCTGTCTCTCTCTCCCCCTCTCCTTTCCTCTCTCTGAGATCAATAAAGATATATTTTTAAAAAAACAACAAACCCC